AGTTTTGTTAACTATTGTTGCTTCAGTTTATCGTTTACCGTCCTGGAGAAAGCTGCTGTCGTCAGTGAACCATATGACCTTAGGGTGGGGCAGTGGCTGATCCTTTAAATCCCGTCGTACACTGGTTTCTTCTGCCAGTATATGTTGACAGTCATGAGTGACAGGTTCTGATGATTGCTCAGGTAGTAGTGTAGCTGGGTTAAGTGGGGCGGGGGGTCCCAGTATTATTCTGTCTTTGTCAAGCAACAGGCTCTGATAGTGTGTTATTCTAGAGTTTGATAACCATCTGTTTGGTGGCTGGCGGATGATCTTCTCTAGGGCATGGGGGGCTATAACGGTTAGCTTTTGCCTCAGCGTTAACTTATTAGCATCTTTGATTAATAGGGTTGCTGCTGCTATAGTTTTTAGGCAATGGGGCCATCCATTAGCCACTGGGTCCAGCTTTTTAGATAAGTAGGCTACAGGCCTTTTCCAAGGTCCTAGAGTTTGAGTAAGCACTCCTCGCGTTATTTCTTTTTTTCCTCAATGTAGAGAGTAAAGGGTTTTTCTACATCTGGGAGTGCTAAGGTCGGAGCAGATAGCATTGTCCTTTTAATGTTATCAAAAGCTTGTTGGTGCTCAGGGTTCCATTGGAATTGGGCATTTCCCTTTAACAATGGGTATAAAGGAGCAGCTAAGGATGCAAACCCAGGTATCTATAACTTGCAAAAGCTAGCAGTTCCGAGGAACTTTCTGAGTTGCCTCTTATTAGATGGGGGTGGTATCTGCACAACGGTTTGTTTTCTGGGCTCAGTAAGCCATCGTTTATCGTCCCTAAGGGAATAGCCCAGGAAGATTACTTCTTGTTGGCATATTTGGGCTTTTTTTGATAGAAGCTCTATATTTGAGTTGAGCAAGCTCGGATAGTAGTGCTTGGGTTCCAGACTTACAGTTTTCTCTGGTGTCTGCTGCCAGTAGTAGGTCATCCATATATTGGAGTAGGGTGACTTCGGGGTGCATGGTTCTGAAGTTGTTGAGATCTCTGTGAAGGGCTTCATCAAAGAGAGTGGGGGAGTTTTTGAATCCTTGTGGGAGTTTAGTCCAAGTTAGTTGACCGGACGTTCCGGTTTCTGGGTTTACCCATTTAAAAGTAAACAGCAATTGATTATCTTTATGTAGAGGCAAGCAAAAGAAAGCATCTTTTAAGTCCAGAACAGTATACCATTTTCGTTCAGGGTTCAGGGTGCTAAGCAGATTGTATGGATTAGGTACTGTGGGGTGAATGTTCTGCACTCTGTTGTTGATCTCTCTTAGGTTTTGAATAGGGCGATAGTCCCTAGTTCCTGGTTTTTTTATTGGTAGCAGGGGAGTATTTCAGGCCGATTGGCAAGGTTTTAGGACCCCCAAGGCCAGATATTTTTGAATATGGGGCTTTATCTCATCTTTAGTTTCTTTGCTCAGAGGATATTGTTTAATATTAATTGGGGAGGCTGAGGTTTTTAATTCCATCATTATTGGAGGTTGTTTTACGACTAGGCCTAATCTAGCAGTTTTTGCCCAGGCATCTGGGTAATCTGTTATCCATTTCTGGGATAGCTTGTCTGTTTGATCAGTCTTGGGGGGTGTGAAGAGTTGATGTTCATCTTCTATTGACATAGTTAAAGCTATGACTATAGGAGTTTTTATTGAAGGATTTAGAAATTTCATTTGGGGGCCTTCAGGGTTAAAAGTTATTCTGGCCCGGAGTTTGGTGAGTAGATCTCTGCCCATTAATGGGGCTTTCTGGGATCACTAGGAAGGAGTGATGGATTTTTCCTTTTCCCAGGTCCATGGTCCTTTTAGTTGTCCAAGCCCGATATTTATTGTTGTTAGCCCCTTGAATTAAAGACCTTTTAGTTGATAGAGGGCCCAATGGGGCCTTGAGGGCTGAGTATATTGCCCCTATGTCCATTTCAAAGTTTATTGGGGTCCCCTCCATTTCAAAAGTTACCCTGAGCTTGGGGAGGGGATTTGAGCCCCGACTTTCTTAATCATCTTCCAGAGTTAGAATGGCTGACTGGCGTGGCTGTTTCTTTCTAGGGCAGTCTTTGGCCTAGTGTCCTTTTTCTTTACAGTAGGCACATTGATCTGAGGCCAGATGTGGCTTCTGGCGTGGACCCAGGTATTTCTTTTTGTCTCCCTGTCTTTTAACTTTTGGCCTATTTGTTGTTGTGACCAGGACCTTAGTCAATGCTTTAGTCTGTCTTTTGTTTCTTTTATCCTCCCTTTGTTCCTTCTCTTTTTCCCTTTGCTCCCTTATAGTATACCTTCTCGGCTTCTCTGTCTAAATCTCTCAAAGTCATATCTTGTAATCCATCTAAGTGTTGTAACTTTTTTTAATATCCAGGGTAGCTTGCCCAATAAAGGTCATCATGACAGATGTCTTTTGATCCTCTGCCTGAGGATCAAAAGGAGTATATCTCCTATGTGCCTCCACAATTCTCTCCAGAAACATAGAGGGTGATTCATTAGGCCCCTGAATAATCTTTTTTATCTTGGTCAAATTAGTTGGTCATCTAGTGGTTGCTTGGAGATTCGCTATTAGAGCCCGGCAATAAGTGGACAGATGTTCCTTACCTTCAAAGGTGTTGGGGTCCCAGTTAGGTCGGTTCAAGGGGAAGTCGGCTTCGATTATGCTGGGAAGTTGTGTCGGTCGCCCATCTGGTTCGAGGATATTTTTTCTTGTTTCTAGGAGGATTCTCTCTCGTTTCTCTGTCATGAAGAGAATGCCTAAGAGTTGTTGGCAGTCATCCCAAGTAGGCTGGTGTGAAAACATCAATGACTCAATTAGA